CGTGGGAAAAATAAAATTAATGTAAATAAAGGAGAGGGCAATGGACGCAAAAATAGGAACATGAAGAAGAGAAATCAACAAGGAAACTAGCTAGGCCTAGAGTTGTACAATTGTTTATACAAACGAATGTTAACAATAAAGATACTTTATAAAAGTAAAATTCTACCTAATTTAAATAATAATAAACATATAAGTATTGGAACTACTTTTAGTAGACAAGTTCTTAAAATGGACCCCATTACTCTTTAAGTATTATAGTCTAAAAATTTCAAATGAGTAGTTTGTTCCATCTAAACTCAAATAACCAATAAAATTTCACAAAGGAATCGCGATTTTGGGTAATATGTTACATGTAAAATTCTAAATGACTTAAATACGGAGACAATAATTAAAGAATAAGCATTTGAATTATTACTTATTAACAATATCGGTCTTATAATATGAAACTCTAAAACTCAATTGAACCTACAAAATAGTGTCATATGAAGTCTTACTTTCAATAAATTAATGTGAATAAATATTTTTTTTACGCCAACTCTGCTCCTTTATTCTATTCACATAGTTGACTAGTTGGTTGGTTGGTTGGTAGTCGCTTATTGTGGTGGAAATAACTATCAAGTGAAATGGTTTACGGGATCAATTCAATGGTGGAACCAATATTTATTTAGTTGTTTAATTGAAGGGATAATCTAGAATTTGGACTCTGATGATTGTCATTAGACTTAATTAAGAATTTGGTACTTGGAAAAGACTGGCATTTGCTTTGGAATCAAGAATTATTTAATTTGAGTTCATATGGAAATTAATAGCCACGAAGTCTTTGACAAAGGAACCCAATACTAACAGCTTATTTTCTAATTAATAAGATTATATTATGAGTTATTCAACAAAACTTTTGAGAAAAATATTCTTATTTTCCCTACTTTCATAGTGTTCGGTATTTGCTGAGAAAAATCACTATCACATATGAAAGAAAAATAAGTGGATGGAAGAAAACACAAATTTGCCTAGTTAGTGACCTTATGAATTTATTCGGTATTATTTATTTATATATTTATTCTGCAGGAAAGATGCATGGATAGATTATCGATCGATGAAGGTGGTTGAAAAGAATGTTAATAAAGAAGTACATTGATAAGAGGTAGATAATTAATGAAATGATAAGAAAATTGAACCACTTCACCTAATGAGTTAAAAATTCAGGAGAAACTTCAATTTTCAATATTATTTTATTTTAATATACTAAACATGTCATTAAAAATTAAGAACCGGAGAGAGTCATTGATCGTTAGAGGAAGTTATTTGATTAGAGCTTTTCAAATGTTTTTTTTTTAATTGAATTTCACTCTTACTTGATTAGAGCTTTTCAAATGTTTTTTTTTTAATTGAATTTCACTCTTACTCAATGAGACTCAAATCCAGGTCTAGTACATCGTAAAAGCTTTTCAAAATGTTGAAGAGCGGTTCAATGCTTGAACTAAAAAATAGAAATAGAATAACAATGAACTACCACACTGAAATTTTTTTATGTGATTTAATAATGAACATGGGCATGACGTTAAGGTATCTTTATAATTTACATGTTTTGATTAAATCTAACAACGTTGTCTACTTTTATTCCACTCAAAATTATAAATATAATTATCTTTGCATAAGAGCAGATTAGGTATGATTCTTGTAGCATAATTCCAAATTTTTATGTTAGAAATCTATCAACATCAATTTGAAATAGCTTGAAAATTCAAGCGAAGGTTCTATAATGATAAGGGTATTTATGTCGTGGAATAGTCAATTGCACGGGTTAGGTTTTTCTCTTGAAGATGTGATAAACATTTTTTTTTAATGAATTGCTATATCAATTACGATTTTTATTTGACTAATTAATCACACTTCTTAGGGTTGTTAGCAATCCATTGGCCAATAATCAAACTCCACGTCGCCATGATCGTATTTTTTTTATTTGATTTGATCTAGAAGAAATTAATATTACTATTACAAATTATTATAAGCTCTGTCGTAGATTGTATTTTCTATCATATCTTATATTAGGTCGTGAAAATAAAGAAGAAACAACTTTAATTAAATTCATGCATTTTAGTTATGATGTAATGATTATGAATCCGACTAACCTCATGTCCTTAATTTTCGTCAAGATATGCATAAAAACAGGTTTTGTTCGAAATAAATATTAAAGTTAAATCATATTATACCACATCTTAGCCAACCGCCCTAATAATTTCATCTTTGATTTTTGGGCACTTCAATACTAAGTCAATATCCTTCCACAAAATACAAAGCAAATAGGATATTTTTGGCAAGACTTCTACTTCTTGTGAAAGACTTACCTGAATAAGTTACCATATATCAGTTTTCTTTAACGGCTCTTTTAACCAGATAAAATACTTTTAAAAAATTATTCAAAAATATTCAGAAGTAGTTTTTTAATCACGAAAGCAGCTTTTAACTTTTCAAAAGTACTGTCAAAATAATGGTGCAAGAATCATCGACTTAGTCTACTAGTTGGAGACTTGGACTTGGACAACAAATCATGTCACGAAATGATTAATTTAGAGTCTTATCACTACACAATTTTCACTTGTGATGTGGGAACACAAATTAATTGGATTTGAGGCGCCGAAGGTGTTGAAAATGGCTTGCAATCAATTCTATACATTGTATATCTTTGATAACCGTAATGTTTGGTTACCATATTGTCAGCATATTATTTCTAGTTTCATACTTGTTGAACCTTTTAAACATTTGACCATATTTATTTTGTACATAAACTTATAAAGTATTAGGGTTTCGTTTTAGATGCATTCCGAAAATCGATACTCTTCGAAAACTCTCAAAACTTTACTATATAATATGTCCTAATTCTTTTAATAAAATTCAGAATCTTTTAAGAAAATTTTGTACCATAATACTTGAAATCAATGAGTAAAAAATACCATAGATTGAAGATATTATTGTTAATTTCAATTAAGAATTATCTTAATTGCATGTTTCAAATAAAAATTAACATAATTGTTTTCGTCAACTCTAGTACAACGAAATATTAATAAGTGGATAGAATATAAGTTCTTGTCCAATATCCCTTTTCAAAGTTATATTAAAAAATATATAACTAAATTATTATTATTTATACAATATTTACAAAACATTTTGCTCCCATATGATAAAAAAATTCTTTAAAACTCATTCTTCCCAAATTGATTTTTCAACCGTACATTCCCTCCAATAAAATAATTTTAGATGTGACCCCCAACTTTTCATGTCATACTCTTTTGAGAAACAACATTCTGCATGTCGAATCATGTCATATACTTCCTCATCCAACAAAAATAACTTCTTTTCATTTTAACAAAAATTGAGAAAATATAATTAATATAGTTCGGAACATAATTTTTTCTTATATTTTTTTTTTCTAGTTTCTCCCTACATTAAATAATAGTTTAAATAGGGACAATTTTATTTGTTGATAACAAAACACGTTAAACCCATATTTGATAACAATTATTTGAAAATATTTTTTTTCTACATACTCAACAATCACACAATAAAGTATTTTACACGTAAACACAAAACTTTTCTTTACTTTTTAACCATAAGTTTTTTTCTAAAATTTATTATTAAAAACATTGTTTATCCCAAATAATATAATCCTCAAACAGCAGCTAAATAGGGACGTATTAAAAAACTAAAAAATCAATTATACTTTTAATAAGGAAAGCCACCTATAATTTGAAACAAACGAAAAAAATTAATAAATCTTTCAACAGGGAGAGTATTATTTTCTGTTTCGATTGCTGGCTAATTAATTTTTCCAAGTTAATGCTTGGGTAGGTCGAATGTCAAAAAAGTGTTTAGAAAAGTTAAATTAAGATGACCCAGTGGCACCTTGTCCAATGGTGTAGGAGCTGGAACGACACGAGAAAGTCCATATATCTCATGATAGCTTCACTAGTTCCAGTCACAGTGCTAAGGCTATTGATTGTTGCCCCCATTTTACTTAGTCAACTACCCACAATTTAATTTGATAGAAAATTGGACGTTAGACTTGACATTTTCTAACAAGGTTGATGATGCTCATGATTTTGTCTTAAAATCCTTGGACCCAGTCCTCCCTTTGGGAAGGGAATTTCATGCATTTCCATTGGCATCATGAATTGTGCACATGTAATTTTAGTGGGTTGGTTTCAGAATAAAATCCTATTCACATGTGTTACAAGAAATTTCTTTTTCATAATATAACGAGCATATTATGCATAATAGGACAATAAACCTTTTATACGCATACACATAGGACATTCTTCATTAATGTTGACAATGCACTCGTTTGAGCAGCTAACATTTAGAGGTGACAAACGAACCAAATCACTAATGAGTTAGATTTGTCTTGACTTGAACCATGGTCAGCTCGGACTTGTTTTAAGACGAGCCATGGACCGAACCAACTCACTTCTTCTCACGAGGCACGAACTCACAAGCCAGATCATTTTGGGCCCAACTCGTGGACAGTCTCATTTCTTCTTCATTTTATTAGTTTCTTAAAAAAATTGTTTGTCCTTTAGCTTATTTTATTGGCCTGTTTGATTCTCATTCTTTGAAAAAAATTCATTCTTAAATAGTGTTTTGACATTATTTCAACTAACACTCTTCAATAAAATACTATTACACCTAATCCAAAACTCTTCCTTATTTTTTAACCACACATTTCTCATTAATACACTATTCAAAAATTCATTCTTATCAAAATAATGGGACTTAAACAAGTGTTTAAGTTATTATTATTTTTTTTTTAAAAAGAAAGAAAGAAAAGAAAACGAACCGACTCGTGGACGACCTGGCCCCACAAGCGAAAGGACCGATCCAATCTTAGGATTTGGGCACGAGCCAAGCTCAGGTGTAACCAGGCCCGTTGCCACCCCTTACCTACATTTATGCCTCATTCTTCAACAGACAGAAATATGCTCCATATATAACATCTTATAATTGGGTATGATAATAACAGAATTTCTCATTTATTAAACCAATGGTGAACACACTAACTAATCCTGTTCAGATCTTCAATCAGATAATAAATCAAGGTGTTTATGATCAACAATGATTCTGATAAATGAATAATTCACAGGTGCATTTTAAGGTTTCAATTATGTTTTACAACGAAATTTAGTACTCTACAAAAGTGATCTCATCTTCCAAGCTTACCAGTTCGCGTTGCAACACATTTGAAGGAAAATCGCATGCTTCAAGACCATGGAGCTCCGGTACATAGAGACCCTGCAAATTGAAGTAGATATTTAGGCATATCGTCAAGCCGTTCCTTCCAAACAGCATCTTTTTTCTCACTCGCGCATGGTGACATTTTACAAGGCAAGTTCGCCTCGAAGCATCTTCATTGAAGAATACTCTTATCTTGTTCGTTCATCCAAACAGCCCTAAAAACAGACAGTACTGTTGCAAAACTTCAAATTCATCACAGTTCAATCTTTCCAATCCGGGCACTTTTCATCATTCAATTCTAAGACAAATCCAAGAATAAGACTACTTGTACATCCAAATGTGTACACTTTGGTTGACACTTCCTATGAGTCAAAAATATTACCTTTAATGCTAAAGTATTTTTAAAATCAATGTATCCAAATTTGTCGACACACAGGAGTGTAAATCTCAAGGTGTACATATATCTGGGCTCTTTGTCCAATTTCCACTTACTTGTGTTTTAACTAAATTATCACAGAATTATTTTTTATTCTCTTCAGAAAATAATCTCTCTTTCTAGAGGTGGAGGGGGTAGAGAACAAGTTTAGTCTACACCATACATACATAAATGGGATAATGAACATTCTTTTATATTTGATGTAAATAATCCTTATCATCAAAAGGAAAGATGTTGTCTCAATCACACAATCATCAGAAAAATATCACGAAAAATAATCTTAATAATTTTTTCGTATCATCAACATCCCACCTCTAACCCAATATAGTTTTGTAGAAGCCAAATAGAGTTTGAAAATTAAATTGATCTGAGCAAGTTGTTCTTTCCAAGGCTCAAATGGTACTTCAATATTGCATTTACATGCATGCCGTTTACACCAACCAAAGAAATAAAATCCGGTGTGGAGGAAAATTACTATCCACCAATTTAACACGACCATTACCAAGACTTGAGGGGCATATCCCACTAACAAAAAGAACATTGTCAAAACAAGATCATCGAGCAGTTTTTCACTACTAAACTTGTCGAGGATTGACCACGTTAACAGTAGAACCCCAAAATCCATGGGACTTACCAGCAATCCACCCAAGATGAAGAGAATACTGTTGAAACAAGAACCCAGGCCACAAAGTAAGATGACAAATATGATGCAAATAAACTTGATGAAAAATTAATAGGATTTTCTTCCGATCTAGCACTAACATGAGAGCAAGAGGCAGAATTATTTTGATGACAAAACAACAGCTGAATAACCAGGAACGAAAGGCAAAACCAAACAATTGCTCAATCAACGCAATAACATATCAACCAGGGACAATCCGCCAAATTATCATCACTCACAAACCGAAGACAGCAGCATAATAATAAATGGTCAAAAGCACAAATAGTTCTTAAATTTATATGTAGCCTATGTTGCATTACCTCATGGAAACAAAGTAAGGTCCAAAAGCATTCATGGACCCAACCAGCCCCATCCAAGCTGGAGACATCAAAAGGCCCAAAATCGCCAATCAACTGTCAAATAAACCCGACAGTAGTTTCACAATTAGTAACCCAAATCTTATAGACCAACAAATTGCAGAATTGGACAAAATGTAGCCTATATAGCTTGCTAGACACCACGACCAAATTCAACGAATGAACCAAGAAAAATTCTGAAAATTTATTAGTTCTCATTTGGTAGAGCATTCTTCTATTTGATAAACCAGGGAAGCCCTGACAAATATATTTACTACTGAGTGAATGGAAACAAATCACCGAACAAGACCAGAATCCTAAATCATAATAAGGAGAGAAGTCACTGCCCAAGAAGGAAGCAGCAAGAAGGATGACGGAGCCACAAAAGAAACAATGCAGCAGGAAGTAGCTAAGAACCAGCAATTAGCATAATTGCTTCCATGTCTTCTCTCTGTGATTTACTTTCAGTTGCTTCAAAGGAGGCCACCAGAGAGAATATTGAGCTTGACCCCTAAGCAAGTGTAAAGGATGCACAGGAGAATAGTGCTGAACAATTCTACGTAAAAGAAGACCCAGCAATAAGAATAGAATTGAAATTGGGCAAAGAACTTATTACTCTGCAGCAAAATTGCAGCGCAGGTGAAGGAAATATCAGAAGATGCACTTAGAAGGGGTGGTTTATCGTCGATGACAGTTTAGGTGAATTTTACCAGAAATCATATTTGTCAAAACTAGAACCTTATGTTACAGATTTCCCAATCACAAGAGTTGAGGATTTTGATTTGAGTAACTCTTGACATAAGAGAAACTGTGAAGGCCTATATACAGATTATGACTCAAACACCATCACTGCCAGAACAAGATAGAAAAATCTAACAAAAGAAAAGAAATTAATAAAATGGCCAAACGATGATATCTAAATAAAAAAAAAAAGAGGGGGGGGCTGGACGAGAGGCATGAAGCTGCTTGTGGGTGACAGGAACTTACAAGTTAAAAAAAAAAAAAAAAAATCGAATTAAGCCCATTTTAATACCATGTTGAAGATATTAAATTGTAGATAAGGTTTCATCTAATTATTACAAAAAAAAGAATGAGGGTAAGGAAAGATTGTGTCTTAATCACAATTATTAAGGAAATAATTCACATTATCATGAAAATATCAAGAAGAATAATCTTTAGTCTTCAAATATCTTCATCACGCTTCAAGGATATGAAAATGTTTCGTCAAGTTATTAAAAGCAAGACAAGAAAAAGATAATACAATTAAGGGATTTCTGAACACAAGCAGCCACAGCCTCTAGTTATTATTATTATAAGTTTATTACCAACGACTCTATTTACCAACCTCACCTATTTATTTGATTGAACATTTATTTTTCATATGCTGATGTTATAACGCTAATGAAGATATCAGCTAGCATAGGTACCACTGGAGGACCCAATCAAGCCTACAGCAGTACTCCAACCACTTTTCTGAACTGCCATCTGTTTCACATTTTTTTATTTCTCTACTTTGTATGAAATAATTACGGGATATGTGTCTCTTTGAGAATTGCTCAACCAAAAAAAGGTAAAAAATCAACGCCAAGGTAGCACCAGATTTGGTGTAAGTGGTAGGAGTGGTACAAGGCACGTAGAAAGATTATTTAATATACACCAACATGGGAAACCAAAACACGTTGAAAGAAATGGTATGGATGTAATTTTAGGTAACGCCGGCAAAAATATAAAAATTTCAAAGGCAACTGTCATGCAACAGCATTCCAACAATAGCTCATGTTTCAATCCAATCATTATGAAACCTGCAACTGCACTTGGACATTAGTCTAACCCACTTCTATTGGACACGAAATATTCCCTTTGGGAACTGATAAGAACTGAACTTGAATTTTTAACTTCATAGGTACTGTTCACTCAATTAACTCTGGTATTTTACTATTTCTCTTAATTTGTGAGTTTTCATGTCCTTCAATACTTTTGGAGATTCATACCAGAAACTTATAAGTAATTTCAGACCACCTTTGACCATATATATTGTTGGAACTCCTTAAGTCTAGAAAAATTCCCTCTAGATAGCCATTTAAGCAATCTTCAAAATAAATTTAATTTAGGAATATCATGAAATGTTTGACAAACTTAAAGTGCGGTACTAACTTTGGACTCTTAACAAGATACTTCAATGCATAACAGACGATGAAGGCATTTTGAGGAACTGAGGAATTATTCAAGAGAGATGTTTTATCAAGAAAGATAATGAACAGGAAAACAAAATTACTTTAAGAAGCACATGAATCTAAAAGGAGATCCAGAAACTGATTAACGAGTATAGTTAAAACTTCATATTACATCGAGAAATGAACATGATAATTTGTGGGAAAGTTATCTTGTACAAAAAAATTGGAGGTTATAGAACCACATGCTTTTCCTGCTAATGAAACACACAAAAGATCCATGAAAAAAAAAGAAAAAGAATCTTCTCCAACTTTTCTTTATAGAATAATTGCAGGATGCCAACAAATCAACACAAGTAGAACAGAGACAAGTTGGAAGTACTTACCGTCTAATAGTTGTCACACAACAAGAAAAGCTCGGTCTTTCAATGCTGGTAAAGTAGAATCTTCCTTATTGATGGTATCTCCCACTTCCGGTCGGTCACACTAGCATCCAAGAAACTTCATTTCTGAATGCAAAAGAATCTGACATCACCCTTGTCTACTATTTACGGACTATCAAGATGTGAAGTTATTAATTTCTATTGATGATTCTACATGCTTTTGAAGTGATTCTTCGAAATTTATAATGGCCATAAAAAACTAATTATTGATCATGAAGTATGCAAGATTTGCAGCTCACATGAAGCCTAAAAAAGAACTTAATCATATAAGTTTATAATGCATGCAGCAAGAGGAGTTTGAAGCTTATAATATAAAACAACATAAGGAACCACCTTATTGGCCTTAATCATCTCACTCTCCAAATCTTGAGCAGCTTCAATCATTCCTTGCGCCAGACAGGCTTCAATCATGGTAGCAAAGGTGATATCGTCTGGTTTACATTTGTAGTCCTTCATTGCCATGAACATGTCCACCATTTTATCCACATCACCGGCATGTCCATAGGCACTGATGACACAGTTAAAAAAGGGCGTATCCAGAACTACATTGGAATTCTCTACTTGCCTCACAATTGAATCAACTTTGCTCAAAAGCCCTGCTTTACTATATGTATTGACAAGAGAGCAGTAAGTAATTGAATTGGGCTTCAGACCTTGATGCTTCATTTTCAGGAAAATCTCGTCCATTTTCTCAATATCCCCAGCCTTTCCAAATGTCTCAATAATTATATTATATGTAACAACCGTTGGGCAATAGAATCTCCTCTTCATAAAATCCAAAACAGAGCCCATTTTCTTGTACATACCAGCTTTTCCATATGACTTAACTAGTATATTACACGTCATTATGTCTGGCTTTAACCCCATAAGCTGAAACTCTTCAAACCACTTCTCCATTTGCTTAATCCTTCCAGATCTACCATAAGCCCCAACCATAGAATTAAATGTGAAAACATCTGGATGACACGTACCACTTTCAAGCATGTCCGTCAGTGAGCTTTCCATCAATTCAAAAAATTCAGCTTTACCATATCCATCAATCAGGGTATTGTATGTAACGGTGTTACATTCGATTCCCAAGTCCAACATCTCATCTAGAATTTGTTGCACCATATTAAAGCGGCCAAGTTTAATGCAGCATTTGATAAGGATTGAATAAGTAAACACATCTGGTTTACAATCAGGGATGATCTTCATATAATTAACAGTCCGAAATGCCTCGTCAAGGAGGCCACTAAGGCCATATGCACTAACAAGTGCAGTGTAAACATCAATTGTTGGTTGGAGGCCATCAGATCGCATGACTTCCAAAAGCAAGCTAGCTTGATTAGGCTGCCTGCACTTGCCAAGCATTACTAATAACTTTGCATATGTCTGGCATCTAGGCTTGTACCAGTGTTGCTTACGCAGGAGACCAAAAATCTTTCAGAAGTAAATATATTAATAAGAAAAAGTTAGAATCATGACCAATGCCAAAATTTGAATCATTTGAAGTTCAAAAACTATAACCTTGACAACAAATTACAGAGTTCATGAAGTTTTTTCAGAACACCTATTCTTCTACCAAAACAACAGTTTCACAAACTAAAAATATTCCCAAAGAAAAAATTCTCACAAGAAACATAACCATTCCAAGATTTTCTCTTCTTCCACAATTAAGACCTTAAAAAAAACCTCGGCATCATCATCTATTTCAGCACAAATGACAAAACAGTTGGAAACCCAAAACTTTATCATTATCCAAAACCCAGAAGCTAAAACACCTCAACCCATGCATATAATCAGATGAAATGAATATGCATATGATCAATTTCAAATCTAAGAAATAAAGTTTAAAATTTCAAAAATCAAATAATATTAAAATTTTAGTTATGAAATAATTAATCAAAAAAATATTTTTTAATTAAATATATTAAATTCACAATTTTTTTTATAAGCAATAACTTGTGACCTGTGTATATCGCGATATATAAAATATGATTTTCAATCTGTGATTTGTTACTCATAACTCATAATATAAAATGAGACCACTAAATTTGATCCGTGACTTCTACAAAATGACATGTGACCTATTAATATTAATTTGTGACCCGTTTATATTGATTTGTGACGTATATGAAATGACTGTAAATTGTGAACTCAAACCCGTGACCTTAACGGCGAATTGTGACCCACACACCAGTACTACAATCTACCACCTTCATCTCCAACTTTACTAGTCGTGACCAACTTTGTCTTCAATGTAACTATATGTGGCCATATCAGTCTAATTTGTGACTATATGTAAACAAGTCACATGCAGTCACAGTTAATATAAATTTGGTCACAGAAAGTCACAATGAAGATAGACTTGGTCACAATTTATTTTGTCGCCACTACCACTACGGTATTACCATCAATCCCAACAACGTCAACCAAGTGAGCACCACCAACACTTTCAACAAATACTAACCACAACCACTGGCATCATCACACCACTACCACTACCACTACATGAAAGATCCGTTGCTCGTAGTTGCAAGCTAGGGCGTGCTTCCTTTGAAGCCTCCAAACATCGACCAAGCTATTGGACTCTACCACCAACATGACCACCTCAACCTCTTCTCGATTGACATTCAGGCCTAATACCTTCCCAAACACACCAAAAATCAAGCCTAACCCAATAGATACGAACTATCTTTTGGGCAACACCATCTCCAATGATTCCCATGCCATTACCACCACCATTGCGACCACCTGCACCAAAATCCACCACCACCACCTCCTTCAATCCACAACTCGCCACCGTAACCACCACATCCACATCAAATATAAATTAACACCACAACCCATACACCACACCACAAATTCAGAGATGCGCACAACCACCACGTAGATATGCACCATCTCAGCCAGATCTAACAACAGCATCACCGCAGATCTACACCAACGTTCCTCCTCTTGAAGCAGTGACGCCATCGATGCAAACGAGAAGCTTCGTCGCATCACTACTTCAAGTAGCCCTCGCCGCTACTTGGTAACAGCGATGCCGACAATGACGAAAAGCCTGGTATCCGCATCGCTGCTAAATGCTGCTAGAAGTAGCAACACTTGATTGTTTTGACCCATTCAGCGAATGCTCGGAGGTTAATAGGCTGAAGGAGGATTTATTTGGACAATTTTGGGTGATGATGAGTCGAAACTTTGCACAACGAGTAAGGATCTTGACTCGTTTATGAAGAGTTTCGAGCAGGAAATTAGGGGGAACGCCTTCACCAAAGGTGGATTTGAAGTCGGGTTCTAAAGAGTCTCAGTTGGATCTTGGATATTTGTTGGAGGCTTCGGACGATGAGATTGGGCTTCCTTCGTCGAAGGCGTCTCCAACTGGTGTATTGAGTGAAATGAATAGGTTAGGTGGGGGATGAGGTACGTAGAGAGAGAGAGAGAGAATAGGATAAGTAGTGGTGGGACGATCTGTGTATATTACGTGTAATTAAATTTTAATTATAAACCTAATTAACAACTGATTTGTGAAAATTGAACTTAATCCCCTAGTTTTTTGAAAATGGATGTTTAAATGTAGGTTTTTAGGTAATTTTTCCATCAAGATTCCTTCTGTTATTCAAAAAGTGTCAATAAATTTAGAATAAAATCGATTTTTAAGACCTTATAATTCAAATTTTATAATAAAAATTGTGATTGTAATATCTAAATATATGATATATTAATTTACTTTCTATAAATATATTGCGGTTTTAGTTAGCACATGTCAATACAATACAATTAAAATATTTTTCTTATGTGATTTTCCTTTGTTACACAATCGAAATCTATTAATTTACCTTTATATTGCCATTAATTGTAGTTACCTGTAACGCATCTGCGTGGGCCATACGACTGTTAAGTTTAATCTTGGTAAATTCCATATCTACCCGTTTGGTAGGGATTTTTTGCCCTAAAAAATTGATTTTTTTACCGTTATTTTACTATTCAAACCGTAATTTTTGACTTCTTCTCTCACATGTGGACCCCACTTTTCTTCTAGGTGTCAAAAAATCAATTCTCAAAATCTCTACCAAACGGGCCCTAAATAAAATCAAATTAAGAGAAAATGTTCTGTACATATTTCATAGATTGTATTAAATAGGATTAAACTTTAGCGTGATAGAATTTAATATACATCTATTCTATTTAATTTTATAGAATAAACTTACTGAATATTCCGAAAATAATGTCCGTTGTGCTATAACCTAATTCTCACTTATATAAGATTTTCGAGATTTGGTAGTAGTTGATCCTTCATTTTTTTTAAAACCAAAAAAAAAAATAAAAAAATAAAATGAAATGGTCCTTAAATTTCTTGAAATTTTAAGATATGTGATTGAAAAGTTGTGGGACTTATAAAAGATACGGTTAATATTAATTATCTGACTTTAATTTAAATTAAAATTAAATTTTAATCCAAACCGTCTTATTGTCTACTGACTAACCCTAGCAAATTTTTGTTTCTGTTTATGATTTATGGCATACTGCAAATTAACACCACAAAAAATACATAAAAAATATAAATAAACACAAAGAACATGGAAAAAAATAAATATAAAATCTTGAATGTATGTAATTCTTGAAAGAAAGCCAAATTACAATTGTATGCCAAAATAATTATAAATAATATTTCAACTATTCTTCTTTTCTCATCTCTATCAAGCAATAGTATAAAGAATAAAGTCAGTAGTATCAATCCCAACACCTTTAGAACCATAACAACCCGTCGGCGCTGAAACATCCCTGGTGGCGCTGCCGCCGGAGACATTGTCATGGTGGTGGTGGCGGCTGCCGTCATGGTTGGTTGGAGGGTGGTAGTACATCCGTGCAGTTTGTGGGCAGTGAGAATGAAACCTTGCAGCAATTCTCACTAATGTATCCAAAATCTCTGTATATTTACTCATCTCTTTTGCTCTCTGAGAAAAATGTAACCTTCTCGGAGGAGAAATAGTGGGAATAATAACTTTGCTTTAGGGAAACTTGGAGGCTTTATATATTGTTGGGTTAGGAACCTTTCCTTTCAAATTTACCAATAAATATTGAAGGATTTTTATTTTTATTTTTAAAGTAATTTGTGTAGATGCCCTCGTACTTTAAAATAATTCTGTTTGTAGTCCTCCATTTATTCTTTTCATTTGAAGATTCGGTCAATTTGGAATTATTCTTTTACATAGAAACCTTGCAAGAGCAGTGAGAGCCGTACAAATATAAAATATGATCGAGTGGCATGTACTTAGGTTAAATGTACCTATCTTTTCTTCTTCTTGACTATTTTGTTTTTAAATAATTTTTCAAAGTTCAATTTATAATCCCATTATAGAATTCTTAAGAAGCAAAAGTCTATATAGCCCCTGTAAAATTTAGTTGATAAAATATGTAATTAAAAAATTGTTAAAATTTGTAAATGTCGTAAACAGTTTGATTGAAAATGAATTTAAAAAATAAAATTGGGGTCATATAGTGATAAAGTATTTTAAATAAAATTGGGGTCATATAGTGATAAAGTATTCTTAGTAGGACTATATAGTACACTTTCTTGTTGCACTCGAGGTTAGGAATGACAATTTGACCTGAAAAATTTGTGCCCCCAGTTTGAAGGGATGACACGACCAGGGCTCTATCCTTGCTCGAGAACTAGTTATTTAGACATGTAATTCAAAATTTATTTATAAATACTTTAATTCGATTTTTTTTCTCCAAATTCATTAGCCGTATTTCTGAATTACTCTATAAAATTAAAAATATATAATTGGGACGGTGAATAGCATGGTGTCCTACCCAACCCCACCTTGTCTTGCCTTAAGTGAGATCGGAGAGGGAAAATTTGCGGTAGTCAAGGTGTCCCTATTAGAATCCACTAGTTAATATCTCATAAATTGCACCATTCATTCTCTGTGATATTTAAGCATTTCAACTAGAATACATATGGCAATAATTTTATATGAAAAAAAAATCATATTATTCAGATAAAAAAAAAAAAAAATTGACTTATAAAAAAGAATAAGGATCCAATTCAAACTGTTTGGTTGTTAAAAATATGCAAGTTTTTGAATGAAAAAAGATTATCACGGTTCTTATTTCTTAAATTAATCTACCATATCTATCGAATAAGATTTCTGGTGGATCTATTCCGTATAGGATTGATGAGAAGATCCTTTCAATTAGCTAGAATCCGTTATTTGAACGAAACTCTTCTACTATTAGTATTCATTTAATTTGAACTTAAACCCGAATCATGCATATGTTCAAAATGTAATGTATTTATGTAGCTATTGGTCAAAAAGAATCTTATGTGACTCAGTTAGTGAAGTTGAAATATTGCGAATATGTACCGTAGCTATTAGAATTATTGCCTAAACTAAAGTGACTTTTGACTTAACTATCGAATTTAATTTAAAATTTAAAAATAAAAATCAGAATATTCTTAACCCACGTGAATTAGTGGTAGCAACAGTTAGTGATTAATTGTCCTTTTCGTCAAGTTGCACTGGAATAGGTTATACAAAGAATAGAATAATTATATTCAATTAGATCACAATAAATAAGAAAAAATAATGAGGCAGAATATAAATATATCTAAACTATAAGGGCTATTCTTAAAGTATGACTTCGTCTGTGCTGCGGAGGAGTAAAGTAAACTATGTACCAAGAGCTGCGTCAAGTTTCCGCGTGCCCCTACAGTGTAATATTTGCTTTTTATTTACAATAAAACCCCTCTATTATCTGAAAATTACAAATATTGTCTAGACTTTTTTCATTAATTTCTCCAGACGGTCAGAGAAAACAATAATGACAAATGTCTATAGAAATTAATTGTCAACTTAGTCAAGTATTAATTTCGTAATTTTCAAGAAATAGAACAATCTCATTATAAGCTGCTCGTGAAGGTCATTATTACGTTTTCGAGATGCAAAAAAAGTCATTCTTTTAGAGAAGTCCTAACTAAGTTCTGGACACAAGCTTAGAAAGTTTGAAATCGGCACTACTACAAATCAGAACTTCCAGTAAAAATTGTAAGAAAAATTAAAAGATTTGGAACCACCACTGCAATTACCACTTACATTGAATAAAAATGTTATCAAATGAATTATAATTACAAATGAAATGACCGAAAAAGAAATATGAGTTAATATATGCTCTAAGTTTGAATATATCATAAAAATATTAAAAAATAGGAGTTCTTTAATTACAAGAAATCAAGAGTCTTCCGGAAGTCAATGATTCCGTGAATAACTCGGGATATTAAGAAATATTTTTAAAGACATTTCGGGAATTGATCTGATTCTATCTCTGCTCCTTGCGTTTGAAGAAAGGAAGGATCTCTTTGAATCATGGGTACTGGACCCTTTACACGTAAGACCTATTGCTCATGCAATTTGGGATTCTCATATTGGTCAATCGGCGGTGGAAGTTATTTTTTGTTTCATTTCTTTTCGAACAATCACAAACACTTTTTTGATCATGGATCTACTACCAGAAGTTCAACGCATAATTTCAACATTCAATGCGTATTCTTGAATAATATCATTTTTCAATTATTCAACTATTTCGGAAAAATCGATGATTACAGTGCTAGTACATCTAAGAATTAAAACAAATTCACTATACGTCCGGTAAAGTAGCCATACAGCACTTCAATAAAGAAAATAAAATTAGAATTTTATCGATTATGTTGTCCAATCATGTTCAACAGTACACAGCAAACTTTTCCCTAATGTACAAATAAGATCTCAAGAATTGTCAAAAGAAGATATTAGCCTCCAGCATGTAATCATCTAACAGCTTCTGGAGCAGAGTTGCAATAAGGTGTGTGCAAACAGACTAACTTTGTGCACATCAGACACACACTAGCAAAGACGACGCCGACGGTGAGCCCAGAAACACTCTTTCGTTTATCTAACTTAACAGCTCGTCTGACAATGCTAGCGAAACATGGGAATAATCCCCCGCATGTAAAGACCATCACGTGGTCGAGGCCGCTGTAGTCAATTCCAGCAAGTATTGCTCCGATTGCAGATGACGGGCCTACAAACCCGATGAAAGCAGCTGATAACAGGGAAGCATGCCAGCTGCCAGTTGCCCCGTAAATGCAGCTAGCTACAGCAGCACCCCGAGGAAATCCATGGAGAGAAACGGGAAGGACCATGTGCCGACCAAGCCCGTAAGCTTTAGGTGCAGCTACTCCTAATGCAAGACCCTCAGAGAGGGCATGGAGGGCAATAGCCACACAAGCCAAGATTGACTGTAAAGTTAGTGCACTAACTGAAATGCCAGTGACAGCAGATAATGCATTTGCTGAAGTTTTTTTACGGCTTCCAAGCTTCATAGTACCGGACATAGATAAATGTATAAATGCCGATCCCGTCCCTAACAAAAACAGGAGAGGAAATATCCCCATCTTGAAAGACAGTAGTAATTGTAGAGGTCTCCAAGCACCGAGAACAAAAGCAATTCCAGAGGCCACGCCAGATAGGAGAGCATGCTGAAAACGGAAAGTAAGAGCAAATGCAACAAGAGCAATTCCACCAAGCAATGGACCTAAACCGAAAAGTAGAGAAACAACGAATCCAGAAGCATCCTCCGCACTGTGGTGTGAAGCAATTTGGTTAAAAGATAGGTAGGTTCCATATAGATTCAACAGTTTTGTTTTCATTCAGTTCATATTAAGCAATTAATAAAATTTGAAAGGTGGAATTCTCTTGCCACATTCTAAACGACAGATGTTTTGCAAAAAATAATACAAATCTCAAGCATTCCCCTCAATAACAACCATCGTTTCTGTTTACTCAACATTAACGTATCCATTCCTAAGTCCAAAGTTTTCAAAGTTACAGTGCCATGATGTTGAACACCTTAATTTTCTCAAGTTCTATTAAACCATCAATGCACAGGAACTAAGCAGGGATATTAGGTGGTGCCCATCAAATAGTACGATTTGCTATTGTACACCTAGCCCACCAAAATAAAACACGTTATTAGAGAACATAAGAAAGTTTTATTATTTTTCTAGAAGTCTTAATAAAATTTTAATATATGAAAAGTTATACTGATTTTACTTTTATTAAAGTTTTTTTCATAAATTCCACAAGAATTTCATTCATTCTCAGTTCCATGTTAATTCAGCATGAGTTGCCTATATATGTGATGCCAAATTTTATAAATGAAATTAGTAATTTTTCCTTCATTTCAACATATCAGGCTTACATGTATCGAAGTTACCAAGATAGAGGAGAAAATAGTATTTTCTGTCTTAATTTTTCTAAATAAAATCTCAATCAAGAGCCGTACAAGATAAGCATCCTTGTCATGCCATTGGCTAGTCTTGACCTGTGCCGACTTCTCCGATTCCATAGTGGAATACAGGTTGGTAAATATTGTGATAAATATCAAATATGTACCTCCAGGATACCACAGAAAGAAGAATGGCATATGAGAAGGCAAGACATCCTAACTCAATGCTACTACATCGGGTTCAAATATTCAGAGCAGAAAGGGAAGTGTAAAAAAAGATAATGAATATTCAGTGAACCTGTTAACCCCGATCAAAATCACTCCTCAAGCAGGAAGTGAACACAACCCAGAAAGAAACTACACCAAGCATGCATGCACAAAACAAAGAACATGGAGGGAGAGAGAGCTTACTTGTAGTTGTGGCTGAGATGTTCAAACACTGCACTCAGAGCTTCCATGAATGCCACAGAAAGTGTAGCTGCAGATGCAACGTGAGAAGGAGAAGCTTCCTACAATCCAGATGACAGAAGAGACAAAATTGCAGTCAAAAGCAAAAATTTTACGAGTGTGATGGTGATAAACTCAAAAATGGTATAACAAAGTCAAATGAGATCTCAAATTTTAATGTGTTTTTAAGATCAAAACATAAGTAACTGCATTATATTTCTCCTCTTCTATTTTGTTTTCACCCTCGACCATGTTAACGAAAGGGAAAGGAAGTGAAGGATAATCTTGCCATTGAAGTAAAACAGAAATGTCGAATTAAATAATTACGTCTTCTGTTGGATGAACTTGTTCATAGGGAACAAAGGAGGGCGGAATCTTATGCATCAAAAATCATAAAACAGAAGTGCAGTTTAACTGTAGAAATGCATACTCTAAGAGGGTGTTTGATACCCATTTTTATGTAAAAATGCATTTTAGAATAGTAAATTGATGGGAAATGTGTGGTTGAGAAATAAAGAAATTTTTTTGATTTACGTGTAATATTATTTTAATAAAGAATGTGTGGTTGAAAAGAAAGAGAGAGAAAAATGCATTTTGAAAAAAATGGGTACCAAACGGGAGGCCTTAACCACTGCAACAGTTAACATGATCTGACTAAAATTTCGCATACAAATAACTTAGTTTCTCCCAATCAAATCTATATCCATACACAACAATCTAGTTCTTACATTAATCCTTAGCCAGCCTGCACATCAAAGTCCATGGTTCCAAATTCAGGAGTAACATTTTGCACTCATTCCTTTGCTAAAATGTGAATCCTTCTTTATAGGAGTACATTCACAGTTTTCGACTTCATTTCAGTGATATTTAATTCCACCACAAATAAAATTGTTATAATAAAACATGAAGTCAGCTTTCTTGGCCAGAATAATGTTTTACTCTACATGCTCACGTGATTTCGTTGGATTTGCTATACACATGTTATATTGCTTCCACATCAACCAGAAAAGGGAGAAATAAATGTTTCACTTAGCTGGAGCAGTCAACAAACTTACAAAATTGAGATGAATGGAAGAAAAATTTGTTGCTTAATTTGTTGGGGCATATGCAAACTACCTATGTAAAAGTAATAGAGGGCACAATACTTACAAAGTTGAAACACCAGAAAATTCTTGTTTTAAACAGACTTTTAGCTTTTATTTCTCGAGACTTTTAGCCTTCTTTATATTTTCCATACTCTTTCTGTGTGTGTGTGTGTGTGTGTGTGTGTGGAAAGGAAGACCAGAGAGGGGAAGGGTGTCAAGCAAGTTACCTTAAATCCATCTGGAAGGACCTCTGCAATAACCATCCAAATCATACACCCGGCAGCAAATCCAGTGGCAAATGGAAGGAACTTGTTGAATGCATCAGCACATATAAAAGATGGCACTGCTACAATAGGCTGCATTAAGAAATGATTTAAAATTCCAATTACAAACTTATATTATAACATTCATAAAAGCAAAATCTAAAGAAGGGAAAACATGCTCTCTCTTGATATCACTCAACTCAATCCAGAAGTTAGTTTTCTCGCTATAAGCTATAGCTCTATCAATCCAAATATTCATTGTAAACCATATATTAGGAAAGAAAAACAGATCCCAACTTTGTTGTTCTAAATTATTGCTGTTGGGACATTTTATCTCACCATTATATAATTTGCTAGGTAGTAAGCATTCCCAAATATGTCAAAGGAAAACTAACCAATTACCTGTGGCAGTGATGTAATCACACTCCATAACATAGCTTTCTGTGGAGAGACCCCTCTCGATGCAAGAACCATACTAACAGCTAATCCCTCTGGTATATTGTGAACGGCAATGGCCACAGTAACCAAAATCCCTTGAGATAAACCCTTGGACCCGGCAAAGGATACTCCAACACCAGAGCCCTCTCCAAAAGAATGAAGAGTCATAATTCCAACAACAAGAATGACTTTAGCGGCTTCTGCTCCTTTTATATCCAACATGCTCACTTCACCATATTGCTCAAGAATCTGAACAACAGAAACTCAAATTTTAAGAGAAGCCGGCACATGGAAAAAGAGATTCTTGATTTGCGAAACACAAATGAGAGAGAGTTTTTTAAACACAAATGGTAATAAGCTTAATTGATAACAGGGAGATTTAGATTGCGGTACTTATTCACGTCACTTATTAAGGCTGTATAAAGATTGCATTGTTATATCCCAAGGTTTTTAGCACTTCAATTGTGGTCACCAAGAAAATTTATTGACAGTGGGTAATAAGCTTAGTATTTCAGCTGGATGGGCTTAAAAGGATTATGCAGAATTTTTATTAATACTCGTTGTGGTATTCAAAGTGACAGTGACATGGTTGATACTATTGAAAACAAAAATCAAAGATGATGGCACCTAGCTCATTTCAGCAGTCTTTTATGATTTCATTGAACCTGTCCCCTCACTCCCTCCCCAAAGGATAAATAAAAGAGAAGACGTGTAAATATTCGTCGAACTAGGAGAGGACAAATATTACAGGCACCCTTCAGGCTGCATCATTTCAAAACTTTTGGATAGTACTGCCAAAAGCATAAAGCAAGGTTGTGCAGGAGGCATATTATCATACCTAGCAAGTCTATGACATAAAAAAATTGAAAGATAGAAAAGACCCAAGAAAAGACAGATAAAAAGGATCCTAAACCTAAAGATATAACAAAGACTCAAATAAGACATCTTTTGGTTAAGCTTGACAAGGCAAATGGGAGATGAATATGTGATAAATTATAGTAAAGTAGAAACTATTGTAAACATGTTCCAAAATATACTGTACTCATAAAATCGTAACTAGTGGGACATACTTACTGATGAAACACCAACTCAGATTTAACCAGTATGAATGCAAGATAATATACAAAATTCGGTCTCGTGTATGGTCATATTAGACACAAAAGCAAATTACCCTGAGACATGAACAAAAGAAAAAGAGGAACCTACAGATTTTACCGCATGTAAATAAAAACAAAGACACATATCAGATCATACAGAGGTTAAGGCTAAAATAAAGAAAAGGAGAAGACAGGAATTGCGAGTGCTTTTCAAAAAGAGTAAAAGAATTTTTAATGGGAAAAAGGAGGCATGATTAGCTGTCCAAATTAATGATCAACTACTAACTGCAAAGCTGGAAATTGCTAGAGATGAAAGGATATACCTTCTTGCAAAGCCAAATGAAAATGCCACCTGCCAAAATACCCAACACAACCCAACTTCCACTGCCATGGCCCTGTCCTTCTTGTATAAGGTCAAAGCTTGCTGCCAACATTACTCCTGCAGCCATCCCATTACATATTCCAGCCAACTGAGCATCAAGCTCCACAAAAAAGAATGGCACAGCACCTAAACCAGTAGCTGCAGCCATTGCCATAGTGAAAAATGCAACTGTTGACACAGAAACTCGGTTGTTTCCACCCTTCCAATCATCCATTTCATTATTGATAATTTCAGAACTAAAAGTATGCTCTGTGCCTGACCCATCTATCACCCCACTCCCTTCATTCCACCGTGGAGCAGTTCTTAACTTTTGTAAAGTTTCTTTTTCACTTTCGGCGTTGACATTATTATTCAACAATGTAACAAAGAGAAACAGTAAAAACACCTGCTTAAATCTCAAACCCATTATTAACATATGCACAACATCAAATCATTGCACTGAGCATAAGTCAATCAGATTTACAACTTCAGCATGCTATCTAATGGACATATACAGCGAACCAAATCAACTATCTCAAAGCAAGGTACAGATGAAAAGTTTTTCAGACAACCAGAATGTTTTTAAAAATATAGCTTCACGGGATCACTCAACTGAATTCCGATTGTGGATGCAAAATATTTGAAGACATCAACAATTAAATGCAAGCATGTCACCCTCCCTGTTACGACAAAGAAGAAGCAATATTAGCCAGTGATTCACAATGCATACACGATCTAGAACACTCCAAACAAGCAAATATAGGGACAAATTTGCAGACAAAAAGCACATGATATAGTCAGCATCAATCTTCATATATTCCCATTACCTGCAAGGCATTTTGAGTACATGCTAATGGCAATATTTATAGTGCACTTTGTACTTAATTTGTGTGATCAGAAGAAGTTCAGAAGTCAATAACAACTAGAGACTATCTTCAAGACAGACGGGCTATGTCAAAGGTTCTCTCGAAAAGGAATAATGCCAATAACCAAATTACTAGTTGCACTGGTAACTGTCATCCAGTTTTCCCATACATAAACTAAGAACAATATCCATAAAGTTGGAATACTTTTCCAGAAAAGGAAGACTTTTCCTTCTGCTCTTAATAAATTAAACAACACGGAGACTCGTTTCTTAAGAACAAATCCTAATACAGTGTTACATGATAATTGCACACCATTCAACGACCTCCAAAAGATTCTACAAGATTTATTTTCCTCCAAACGATGATGATAACATAATTCAGACACCAATTGACTTATTAAGAGAAAAATAAATATAAATCTAAGTCTTTAATATTCATTCTTCCACAGGGAAAAAATACTGAATCAAAAAGTCACGTTTTGTTGACAGAAATATTAAAGTTTAAAGATTGTGCATTTTCAATTGCACTTCATTAGGCATCTACTTCTAGAATGCAAATTAATCTTGATCTGCAACTGATAAGCATCAAAATAAAAAGCTAAAAACATGTTAATAATTACAACATACAAAATACCTAAAATTATACAGGAAATAACACATTCTACCTACAATACTTTTTCAATCAAGAATTCATCATAGCCAAAAGCCCCTAACAAATCAAATTGACACAGTTGGAAATGGAAAACCCCAAAAATCTAAACTTGAACAATTCAACGGTCCATATGTCCCACAACACAATCCCTTGCACAGTGGAAAGCAGAAATACAATTACTGAGAATTTTGAAGAACCCAGAATACACAGATTACACACCCGTATGCATACGTTGGATAGAATTACAATTCAGAAAAAGGTACCATTTTTTAATGCAGTAAGCAATGAATGGAATTAAAATTATCTTGCATTCCCTTTTTCTTTCTTTGTCTCTCTTGAGGAAAAGGGGTAGGCTGTTTCAGGGAGGGTGGGACTAAAAAAGATGAAGAAGAAGACGACTTAACCCACCCGTTTCCTGATTATACAGTGGATGTTGACGGTGAAAGATGAATTATAAGTTTAAATGATAGAGAAATTTTCACAAAATTATTTGTAAGGTTATGAAGATAAAGTTGGATAGTTTAATTTTTTTTCCTTGTTTTTAATTAAAAAGTTACCTTTTTTAATGTAACTATTAAGTTACTGCTTTTAAGTTTCGATCCAAAGTATTAAACAAACACAGTGTTAATTTATTTATTTACAGATTAATTGAGGAACTTTTATTTCGTACACAGAGAAACAAAAAATTAAGTACGACAATATTGAGGTTAGGACACTATATATCAATAGTTTTTCTCCATTACATTTGTTAATGGTTGATTTTTATTTTTATTTTATATACAATTATATGCTTCCCGGCTATAACTAGGTCCAATTCAATTTATTATTTATTTATTTATTTATTATTATTGTTATTATTTTTTTTTTTTTTCTGTCAACCCTTCTTAACTGATATTTTATTTCAAGAACTTTGGTACACACACAGCAAATAGATGTGTTTTAAATTGTTTAGTGCGTATATGCTGGGTGCTGAGTCAATCCTCAACTTGTTTATTGGGTAATTAGCAGAAAAAGTTCTTATCGTTTGCATTCATTGCTAAAATAGTCCTCAAGGTTTCAAATTTGATATTTGCACCCTCATTTCAAACATTTCTTGTTGAACTGATCCTTGCCGTCACATTCCATTAATTTCACCGTAAAATAAAGCATGAAATTCACTCATATTATTTGAAAATGGTAAATTAGTCAAGTCAATATATTTTTTTCCTCTCTAAAAGTTTTTGATGAATATTTACTAATAATAAATAGATGTTTACTGATGGTAAATAAATGTTTATTCAATTTCAATAACTAATGCAAATCAAAAACGAAAGTCTGTTAAAAAAAAATATAGTGAACTTTCAAAGATAGATAACCTTATTCAATTCAATATGTTCAATGATGAAACCTAAGATTCGTTATATTAAAATCATGCTAATTAAAATATTAAAAAAAAAAAGGCATGGCCCATTTGAAAACCTAAATTGTGGATTTTGGTCTCCCGAATTTTGGTGTCTCCAATAAAGTTTTGCTAAGAAATTCATTTTTGTGTGAAAAAAGAAAATAGCATTTATCACTCAAACCCAACACAATGGCAATGGTAGCAGATACAATGAAAAGACTAATAATGTCATTGTCCTTTGCAAGACAAGCCTCAAGAATTTGGTTGATTGATTCAACAAGGGTTGACTACTTGGAGTAAAATCGATTTATAAAAAAAACCACAACTCATTTCAAAAATTGAAAATAAAACTTACCGATGTCGACATTGAAGTTGTCGGTTTTGGAATGGCTGGGAAGGTGGTAGTGGAATGGGTTCAAGGGGTGGCTTCTTCCTTTTGGAGGATTTTGGAAAGTGTGAGGTTTGGTGTGGCTTATCCAAATTTGAAATTATGTTGTGTATCAATTCTCCTTTTATTTTTATGAATGGCCACGATATAACTTTCTAGAATTTAATCTATTATATACAAAAATCTTTTCCCCCAAAAAATAAATAGTTATTTGACTAATTTACCCTTTTCAAATAATATGAGCGTGTTCCTTGCATTTATTTCATGGTGAAATTAAAGGAACAATGACGAAAAGGACCACTTCTGCAAGAAAGGTTTGAAATGAGGATACAAATGTCAAATTTAAAACGATAAGGACTATTTTAGCAATAAATACAAACGATAGGGACGTTTTCTGCTAATTACCCCTAGTTTATTTATCAGTTTGGGAAAATTTTGTAAATGATTTGATTTATAAATATATATGAATAAGTGGTGGATAAATTTAGAGGTGTGCGGGGTATGATCGATTTTGACGCAACTCGATATCGAAACTAATGAGGTACAATAAGAAGAAGATTTAATGGAAAAGTGAGACCGTCGTCGAAAGAAATAAATTTTTGGAGTGTTTGTTTTCAAAGAAGTTCGGGCTAAATTTGAGTGGAAAATGTGTTTTTTGATTTTCTGGATAATCTTGTTTTAATTAATAAATTCAAATTTTAATTTCGTTTATTACAAATATTGGAGATTTTAATTTTCTTTATTATCTAGAGTTTAGTCGTTGCCCAATTTAATTATTATTTTAAGTGAGAGTTAGAATCCTAATGCTAGCTGATTTTGATTTTAATTTTAAAGAAAAAAAATTTCTTCAAAATTTTTTCTTAATATTCTCTCTTTCTTTGCATTTGTAAGCCGTCCGCGACAGGGGTACTTTTTAAATTGGCTTGGTCAAACAACCAATTTTCCAGTTTGACCATTTTTTATTTTTTTTTTTGTATTCACCACATTGGCCTCTTGTCAATAAAAAGACAATTGTGCCCTTATTTATGTTTCACAATTATAAAAGTATATCAATTCTTTGAAAGACAATAATACCCTTAAAAGTTTAAATAAATTCAGTTACTTCCATACGTAAATTTCAAAATCAGTTTTGCTTATCAGTTTCTCCAATACAATAAAAAAGAAATTTTTCCTTCCATCTGCTAGAATATTGAAATCTCCCAAAATTATGAAAGGTTCAACAAAGAAACAATACTCACAGTCGGCACTGAAAATTGGTAAGTGTAAATACGTATTTTTAATTTTGTTTTAGTTAAATTTACTGTTTGAAT